GGGGTGGGGGTGGTGAGGCGGGGTGATGGGACACGGGACGGGATGGGACCAGATGGACTCTTTTATCAGGAGATGTAGTGATAGGATGAGGAGTAACAGTTTTAAACTGAAAGAGGGTAGGTTTAGATTAGCTCTGAGGAGGAAGTTCTTCCCTGTGAGGGTGGTGAGGCCCTGGCACAGTTGCCCAGAGAAGCTGTGGCTGCCCCCACCCTGGCAGGGTTCCAGGCCAGGCTGGACGGGGCTTTGGGCAACCTGGGCTGGTGGAAGGTGTCCCTGCCTGTGACAGGGGAGCTGTAACTAGAGGATCTTTAAGGTCCCTTCCAACCCAAACCATTCTGTGATTTATGATTTATAGCCCAGCCCTGTGCTCAAGCAGCAAAAAGGTTTGCATAAGAGATACATGCAGGCTTCCCAGGGTTATCAGCAGGCACTGCTGCTGGGCACAGATGATTTCCCTGACTTAGTGGGACACAGCATCTGGCTGCTGAAATACTATAAAAAAAAAAAAGGGGGGGGGCAGTTGTGTAGCTATGGTATGCAATGATAAAAAGCTCAATTTTTAATCAATTTTTAAGTAAAATTACCCATCTCACTTTGTTATTTTAGTTACTAACTTTATAAGCTTATTCTATGTTTTTATGTATTGAAAAATTTCAGACCTTTGCTCAGTGTTAGTCTGTGGGGTCATCTGCTGTGGCAAGTGCCATGGTCAGTGCTTAGTGGATGCACTTGGGACTCTTTGCTAGTTTTCAAGATTACAGGACAAAGTAGGTCTGTCCAACTTCCCTAGTTTTCAGTCTGAAAGAATAGCTACTGGGAGGGGAATTAAAAAGCAGCTCTGACTTTTTCATTGGGAACAGGATCTGGCACTCCTAGGTCAGGCAGACCTCTCGTTCAGTGGCTTGACTGGAATACTCTTATTTAGGATATGATAAAAGATACACAATACAATTAACATTAGGATTGAAGCATCCTTTTTTCCTTTTATTAGCACTGCTTTGTGTTTTACATTCTGTAAGTACAAAAATTTGTTCTTAGAGGCTATTTACATAAACCTGGACTTTCAGCTTTTCAGTTCATCAGTCCCCCTGAGTGTCTCCTGATCTCATGTAGAGGGGAGGGACAACCCACCAAGACCCCAGGATGGAGCCAAGTGTATGACACTTAACTAACAGAGCAACCTGTCACCTCTGAACATGAGTTCAGGGATAGGAGCTAAGCAAGGCTTTAACTTTTCATGGGAAGGCTATTGCTGGAAATCCTGCCCTGAGCACAGACATGGGAGGACCTGAATGGGCTCCCCTGGCACCCAAAATAATACTGCCACCCTCTTACTACAGGGCAGGGCTGTAGGATACTTCTTGCTGAAAAAATACCTTCGTTTGTGACCAAGAGGCAGCATGATGATGATGATGCAGTAGCTGACAGAGTGGATTTGCTTTGCTGGTCTGTGTCACACACCTTGCATGGGCAGTTATCTCAGACTCAGGAAATTTTCTCTGTGTGGGGCAGACCTGATCTGTTGTTGAAGTTCACGTGTGAAATTTGAATCAGTCCGGGAGTTCATGGCACTGTGATGCTCAGTGAATTATTTCTGTGCATAGAAAGGAGTGTAATGAAAAGGAGCCAAGTCTGGCATAGATCTAACAGGCAGGGTGTGCTGATTAGCATGTAATTTGATTTGTTAGGCACTACAGTAAACAGCATTAAGTGCAAAATGCAGTGATTGCTCCTGATAGCATCCTTTCAGCATTACCTCGGTTCCTGCAGCAGCTGGATGGAGCTGTGTTACAACTGTTCAGCAGGCACCAGCAGAGCTGGCAGTACTCCTTTCTTGGGCAGAAGTTTGAATAACACAAATACGGCCATTACAAAAGGTTTTGGGTGGTGGTATTTACAGAGCACAGCTCGCCCATTTCTCCTGCTATACCTAGTCCTTCCCCATTCCCCAGTGGTGCAGCTGGGACCAACACTGCTGTGGGTTACTCAGCCATCATCAGCCGGAGAGGTGGTGTGAGAGTCTGATTTTCCCCACCAGTATTATGTTTTCCTCCAGTAAATGTCATGTCCATATTTTTTCCATTATGGCTTTGGTAAAGAAAGTCCCTTTTCTTTATTCTTGTGCCACAGTTGAAGGAGCCCCTCAGCATTGCAGCCCTGAGATGAATACAGACTTATCTCCTGGCTCCCCTGCTTAAGAACAGACTTGCTTTTGGTCTTAGGCTGTCTAAATTCTTTGCTTGCTGTAACTGAAGGACCACCTTCTTCAAAACTCCCGTTTACAAACACAAAATTAATGTGCTACATCATTTCAGTGTAAGGATAAAGTCTTCCTGTAGAAATATAGGTGTTCAGTTTTGGCCCCTCACTACAAAAAGGACATTGAATGACTCGAGCGTGTCCAGAGAAGGGCAACGGAGCTGGTGCAGGGTCTGGAGCACAGGTCTGATGGGGAGCGGCTGAGGGAACTGGGGGGGTTTAGTCTGGAGAAGAGGAGGCTGAGGGGAGACCTCATCACCCTCTACAACTCCCTGAAAGGAGGGTGCAGAGAGCTGGGGATGAGTCTCTCGACCCAAGTAACAAGCAATAGGACAAAGTGGAATGGCCTCAAGCTGTGCCAGGGAAGGGTTAGACTGGCTCTGAGGAAGCATTTCTTTGCGGAAGGGGTTGTTGGGCATTGGAATGGGCTGCCCAGTGGTGGAGTCCCCATCCCTGGAGGGGTTGAAGAGTCAGGTTGACCCAGCGCTGAGGGATCTTGTGGAGTTGGGAACGGTCAGTGTGAGGTTAATGGCTGGACTGGATGATCTTCAAGGTCTTTTCCAGCCTAGATGATTCCGTGATTCTATGAAATACCCCATTGAAGCCGTGTAATGCCAAGTGCTGTTTTTTCTCCCTCCCCAAAGCTAGCTCAAGCCCACTACTATCAATAGTAGCTGTTGTTAGGTCAGGCTCCCCCAGGCCCCTTGTGTTGAGTATCACCTTGCGCCACGTATGTGATGCTGAAATTGGCCAAACTGTTCATTGGCAAAGCACATGCAAGTAGAGGACAGACATCCTGGTGGTGCTCATTCCCACAAAAATAGCAACAAATTATGAGTACGATACCTCTCATTTCCTCTCATTCTGTGGAGGTAAGCACAGGAGGAGCCAGACGGAGAGATGGCATTTGCTGAGAACCTGGCACAATCAGTAGTATGTTGGAGGCTGTCAGGAGGAATTAAGTTAAGGGTGAGTGCTCTGGCATAGGGAGGATTGGGTGATGAGGCCACACAGGCAGCTCCGCAGAGCTACCCTGCAGCCACTTACCTCCCTTCACCTCTGCTAAGTGCAGGTGATTGCCCCATTGTCTGTGGGATGTTTTCCTACCTAATCCCATTAGGAAATGAGGGTTTCTTAACAACCGGGAGAGGATTGCTGTTTCATGTGACAGAGAATGGATAGGTGCCTGAATTAACTCGTAAGTTCACACATTTTGTGCTCTTGATTTTATAACGTGTTGCGCAGGTGTCCTGGAAAGGTCCATCATTTCTCTTCAAAGTACTTAGGGTACCTCTTATTCCTAAAAGAATTTGATAAGCCTTGGAAAGCTTTTGCATATTTTTCACTTGTCCAGGGTGTTTTCTGCTTCCACACCTGAATAAATGCTTTACTTTTGTATCATATCAACAAAGCTGTGCCTAAATTAAATCATCTTTTTTGAGGCCTGAGGACCAAGCACATTAGTGGGGACTGAATCCAGGCTCTCAAAAGCCAGAGGTAAGAGGTTTTGTAGGCTTGGCTGCCCCAAACACACATCTGCAGACAGCTAAGGAAAACAAGTACCATCATTCCAATTCTTTGGGAGAAATGAGGGGAAATGAACTTTCTTTGTAATTGCTGTGTATCTTAATTACAGATTTTTAGAGGGACCACAGTAAGGAGAGGACAGTTTTGCTCTTCACTGAAATGGAGAGACCTTGCTGGCTGATGAAGCAAAGCCACAGCACACAGCATTTGTTATTGATACCTTTAAGAACTGGTCAAGGCTCTGCTCCTTGTGGCAGTACCAAGCAGCCATTTGCAGAGCTGGTGGGGAGGCAGCATGGCCTGGGAGGGCTCCTGCCCCACTCCCACGGAGCCAGGGCTGCTGTAAGCCAGGTTTCCTGGTCACCTTTCACAGGCACAGCTCCATGGGGGATGTTCTCTGGCCACCGAGCTGTGTAGCATTTCTGCATTTGCCCGCGTGACTGAATCCGTCCCTTGCTGTGTGATGTGACAGTATCCCTGTCTCTCCTGCTGTAGCTTCACAGTCAATTTAAGCTGATCTAAGCATGAACTGCTGTCAAAAGGGGGGCAGCGAGTCCCACTGCCCAGACCTCAGATGCCATCTCTGCAAAAATGTGGCCTTGGCATCAGGTTTTAGACTAAAATACTCTCCTGAGAAAGTAAAGGTCCCCCTGGGCCAAATTACACATTTGCTTCTAGCTGCAATGGTATTAAAGCAAGACAGTGCAATGTATCAAAGAACAATTTAAAAACAAGAGAGTAATATCTTGTTGAATGCATATGCTGTATATTTTTAAAAAGGGAATATACAGTATGCCAACTTTTATTTATGCTTTTATTTATCTGGTGAGTTTTGGGGTTCTGGAGGACTTCAAGCATCCAACAGCTGCATTAGGATGCAAGTCCAGTGTGAAACCCTGTGAGTATTGGCATTGATCAGATGAAGTAGTACATGTCTGGAGCTGATGGTTTAAAATGTGACTCCAATAGGTCTCATAGATTCACATCCCAGAGGGTGAATGAAATCAATCTAGTGCTATTGATCTGCAGCCAGCTGTGATTTGTGGAGCCCTGTGGATGAGCAGTGAATACAAGCTGCTACCTGAACTGCCAGCTTGCTTCTGTTTGAGCCTTGAAAATAAATAATCTTTGACCAGAGACCAATTGTTATGGCTTTGGGTTAGGCTGGAAACATTTCTGCAAGTGCCACAAGGTACCCAACATGCCAACAACAAGAAAAGTAAAAAGATATGCTGGAAGTGGAAAAAGGGCCAAATATCAAGGTGATCATAAGAGGTTTCAGAAAAGGAAGGTGAGGAAGATACATGAGTTAAGAGATGTAGAGAGACTGTTAAAAGGGGAGGAGATTTGGAGGAAGTTCAGAGAAGGGGAGAAGGCCGGAGGGAGGTGTGGAAGATGAAACCTGTGAAGAAAGGCCAGCAGGAACAAGTCTGCTCCATTTAAAGAAAATATACCCAAGGGACACAATCATCTGCAAATACACAGCGGGGACTTACAAAGCAGCCAGCAATCAGTCTTCAAAGAATGGACCTGATCTTTAAATAAACTAGTGAAGGGGAATGAAGGTGGAATAAATACCTGATTTATCATCCGGCAGCAGCAATGCAACTGACCTTCTCCTCTCTGCCTCCTAAATCACAAAGTTCAGGGCAGAACCTTTACAGCTGAGTCTCTGTTGTGATACAAGAGGTTTTGTAGAGCTGCTGGCCTCCTGACTCAGCTGCTGTTTCAGACACATGCTTCTCAGGGGCTTCTCAAGCCCTGATCGAAAGGGCCATGAGATCAAGGTGGAGGACTATTTTGAGACAGCAGAAAGCAGGTAGAGGACTCCTCCAGAACAGGACAGCATTTCACTGAAAAGCAATAGGACCTCTGTTTGTTTCTCTGGGACCAGGGATTTCTCCTTGCCTTACACAGCAGGTTTCTGGAGTCCTTCAGAAAGGCAGTTCTGAACTTGCCTGAATATAACCATTGGGCTCCACTTTGTTTTAAGGCAGGACCCACCAAACCCAAGGGTTAATCCTAATTATGAGTGCGTTGACTGTTTCTTATGCCCATAAGAGTGAGCATATACCTTCATCCCTTTCAGTTTGCAGTTCATGCCTCCTTCTACTCTGCCTCTGAAACCTCTTTTGCCCCAGCTATCTGCCTGTGCTCCCTGTGTGCCTGCAAACCCTCCTGCTGCCTTCCCAAGGCTCCTCAGGAGGGGTAAAGCAGGTGGGAGGAAGGCAAACAAACCCACTTTTGTCAGGAAATAACTAACATAGTTGACTAAAAAGCCCACTTTCTGTGAAGTTTAAGTGCTGTAACAGCTAGCTTTACCAGGCAGCCAGGTCCACCCAGGTCTCTCTAGCAGTGCATGAGCTGGGAAGGTCATGTTTCCTCCAACAGCCTCCAGTTCCTTGCTTGCGTAGCATCAAAGGCACTCGTCTCTTTTCCACACTACCTGCACAAAGACCAAAGGAGCTGATCCTTCTTCCTGGACTTTAAAAAACGCTCACCACTTACACTGTATGCTGTCCTCCAAGCAAAGCCATGTGCTGCTGCTGGTATTGTTCAGGGCTGTGAACTTTCACAGGACGTCACTTACAGCACGAGCAGATTAGCAGAGAGAGGAGTAGAAAGTAGGACCTGGCACTCTCTCCTAGGAATAGAGGCATTTCCTTGTTTCATAAGGTATTATGAACATATATAGATTCAAGACTGGGTTAATTTATTAAAATCTCAGTGAGAGGAGGTCAGATAAATGTTTTCCTTGCATAGATCTCAAAGACAGTATGTGTGGCATAAAGTTCATATAAGTATTTTGCTAATAACATCTACTAAAATTATCTGTGCAGTAGAGTGAATGGCTGCGGGTCACAACAAAGCATAAAGATGTGGGTTTTTTTCTTTTCTTTCTTGTTTCCCTATGACTTCTCCAGAGTTTTCCACCATGTTCGGAAAGAAGAAGAAAAGGCTTGAAATTTCTGGGCCCTCTAACTTCGAGCATCGGGTTCACACTGGCTTTGACCACCGGGAGCAGAAGTTCACGGGACTACCTCAGCAGTGGCACAGCTTGCTGGCAGACACGGCCAACAGGCCAAAGCCTATGGTGGATCCCTCATGCATCACTCCCATCCAGCTCGCGCCTATGAAGGTATTGTGCAAAGTCACCTTGGAATTTCCAAAGCTACCTTTGATTGCATGTAACCTTAATGAAGTAATACCAGTAGTGGCTGTCTTGGGAGGCAGGCAGGGTTGAGGAGTGTGCAAGTACAGATTGAGCTACAAATCCAAATATTTAATAGCAGAGCTGCAAGGAAAAAAGAGTTATGTATATAAAACTTGTACAGATGTCCCAGAAGAGTGTGAGTCATGGGTCTTGCAGAGGCCTTGCCTTCGCGCTCCTGGGCTGCAGAAGGAACAGCCCCAAGTCGCGGTGCAGGCACAAAACGATGCAGCATAAAGCTTCTTGATAATTAATTTAAGAATGGTGCTTTAGGCAAAGGCAGTTTGGAGCAAGGGAGAGAGGGAAAAGTACACCGAAGGAAGAAAAGCCTAAGTTGCTTGTTCAGCAGGGCAAGATGCTCAGGGAGGGATCTCGCTGCCACCCGCCACTGCCTGGAGGGGGTAACGCAGGTGATGGAGCTGAGCTCCTCACCGGGTGGTAAAACAATGGGAAACAGCCCCAGGTTGTGGTTTGGGAGGTTCAAGCTGGACATCTGGGGCAAAAAACTTGGCGCAGAGGATGGAGCAGCACTGGACAGGGCACTAGCTTGGCTCTGTGATTCCCATCCTTAGAGGTACAGGATTCTGGTAGACAAACTCGCCGTGATTTAGCAGTATTTCTGGGATTGCAGATCCTGACATCCCAGTAAATCACACCTGTGTGCTGCTGGTAGCCTATACCCCGCAGGCCATGTACATCTTGCCATCATGCAGCTGCAAAATAAATTTAGGATTTCATTTTTATGTGGATTTTTCTGCAGCCAGAGAAAATCAGATAATCCCGAGAGCACAGACCCTGTATTTATATTTGATAAGTGCTCTTTGCTAAATTTATATATTTACTGCCTGCTCCTGAAGGACACTTATCACTGGCTGATCAAGCCTGCTGGGTATTGCTACAGGACAAGGGGGATAAAACCAAAGTTGGGGTTTTTTTCCTATAATAATATATCTTATTGAATAAGAGGCCCACAATAATGAGGAAAAAAGTAGGCAAACCTTTTCCTGCTAGGGGAGGAGAGCAACTTTGTTCCACAGCCCTTCTTAACACCAAAATATTCCTGCATGTTTTGATATGGATGCATAAAGATGTTTTAAAATGAAAAAAAGTTCAGTTTACTATCCTGCAGCAGTACCATCTCTTTTCTGCATTTCTGGAGCTATTAATCTGTAAGTTTAAAAAGTTTTAAAACTATTAGCTTTCTCAACACCATACAGGCAATACAACTCTGGGTCTTGGCCTGGGAATGAACATATGCCTAGCTTGGTTCAATATGCAGAGTCCCAGTGAAGTGGCGTGTGAAGCATCAAGCCCCAAATGAGTAATCACCTCGTTCTGAAGTGCAGAAAATCACGGTCAGTTTTTTCCAAGAAATTGTGTCTTCTTGCTTTTCTCTCTGTGCATCAGAGATCTCTATATATGTGTATATCAGGGATGCACTTCTGAACTAAACCATTCTCTGCCAGCTGGGGCCAGGAACCAAAATGCAGCTCCTGAGTCCAGTTTGTTGTTCCAGTGTAGCTTTGGGCCGTGGTGGGCCTTAATGCTGCTGTGCATCCCATGGCATCATCCCAGGATGCGTGTCCTGGGGACAGGATGCCTGCAGCCTGGTCCCCATCTCGGCAGTGGCTGTGGGGCTGAGCACAAACAACCCATCTGTGGAGCGACCCACCCGAAAGGTTTTCTGTGCAGATGGAAGATGTGAATTTGGAAGCAGATTACCCAAATTGCAGTTAATTGCATACCACTGCTCCAAAGGTGTAGTTAGACAAGGAATTGGGGTTAAGACTGAAGGGTTCAAGAAATTGTGCCTTCACCCTCCAGTTACTTTCCCTATCCGAGACTCAATTACAGCCTGTTGAAATGGGCCTTCATAAAAGTGCTAGAAAAAACAGGTTAGTTTTAATAGCAACTAAAAGGCATTGGACGTCATCTGAGAATTTCCTTTTAACTCTATTGCAAGATAACATTTTACCTTGTATTTCTTAAGAATTAACATGCCGCCTTTTGATATAACTTAACTCTTGGAAAGAAACTGAGTTCTGGCCACTTTAAGAATATTTAATGTTGCTAAACTAGTTCAGCATTGCCATTTAATTTAGATGAACTTTTTTGTGTGTGCACATGCACCAGCAGCACCTTTAGTTCCATTGAAAGGTTGTTTAGGCACTGAGGATTTCATAACTTCAGTGAGAGCTGAAGATTTAAAATACACTTGGAGTTGGTGAAGATCCAAACCTCAGATTCCGAGATCTTAATGCTGTTTGCAACTTTTCTCCTTTCTACCCAGCAGTTGGTAGTTTCATTAACACACTTGTGAGGGCACTGAGGTGTAGTAGAAGATTGATAATTGTGTCCTGAGTCACAGTATTAAGTCAGGCTGAGGCATTTGACCAGAGTTAGTTCAAGCTGTGGTTTCAGGTCATACAGCAGCCTTGTAACACTGCTGTTCTGCACTCCCAAATTTATTCTCTGTTTGATTACTTCAGTATTGACTACCTGTATGCTGTGAGGCAGAAATGTTCCTGCTAATAGGTGCTCCTTCGTGACTGAAGAGTAGCACAGATCATAGAGGTAGACTTTTGAGAGCACGATTTCTTGTTTTTGAGGCAGAACTAGTGTTTGCTTGCTTTGGGCTTCACCCAAAGCTGAAGCAGAGGAAGGGAAAGACTTTTTCTTGGCTTATGTAGGTTTTGCAGCTTCCCCAGATAACAGTGTTTGTTTGTTTCTCAGTCTGCAAAGCAGATAGGATCTGATGGTACACAGCATACCGCTTTAGGTAAAACCAATAAACGATAAATATTCTCACTGCTTCATCTATATTCAAAGGCAGCAGCAGCAATGACAATCAGGCAGTGCCCTGGGCTCCCAAATATCCTGGGGGATGTCATCGCCCTGCCTCTGTGTTGGCTGGGATGAAAGGCTTGTAGTGCTTTTGCACGCAGGTGGCGGCGGCTTGTCATGGTAATATCAGTGTTTGAATCCAAACCTGAGCTGACTGTACAAATTCATTCATTTCAAGTACAAGGAGAGACAATAATGGGATTCCCCTTCCTGGTGTGGGTGACCCAGATACCAGCTGAGTGTTGTGTATTTCAGATGCTAACATGAGTCAGTAAAGCACAGCAGAAAATTTAATGAAAAATGGAAAGCGGCAGTGATTTGATAGGTTTGGGGTGTGGAGACGGGGGGTCCAAAAAAGGCCGATTTTTCACAAAAAACATCTCTGCATGAAAAATGTGAATTAGCTGTGTCTTCCTGTACAATAGGTTTCATGAAGTCTGAGATCCTGATGCCAGGCCTCTCGGTCCTCTTGCTTCAGTACTTTGTAGTTGTCCCATGTGTACCTGGAGCTCATGGTTTGCGTGTTTGCTCTCAGCACACAATATGCTTGGCTTGTCATCACCGTTATGCTACACAGAAGCTTCAATTTGTTGCCACCCTTTGATTTTTAGAAAGCTTCAGAATCAATAACTAAGGAAATACATTGTCCTTAGGCAGCAAAATTCATTCTTCACTCTGCTCAAAATATTAGGAATATTAGGAAAACAAACACCAGAACCATTCTTTCGGGGATTTTTGCCAGAAGAATTTAGCATTTGCTTTATAAAGATGCTCCATTAAGATGTTTGAATGTCTGCTGCTGTCAGTGGGAGCAGGACAGCACTGAAGACTTGTTAAAATTCCTTCTTGTGTTTCCCAGTGTAGCGAACAGCTGAGCATCTTCACTTCTGTCAGTTACTGAAGGAAAAAACCACCACACTGGGGTTATTTTTCAGTTGTCTGTGCTGGTACATGCATGCCATCGCTTTGATTTTGTTGATGCTTTGGGTAGTCTCACCCATCCACACCATCAGCAAGATCAAGGTACCCAACTTGAGGTTGACATTCTTGTCCTGGAGCAAGGAGGGAAGTGGCTGTGAGTGTCTGGGTGGCCCAAGACATAGTAGAGGCATCAAGAGGACTGGATGCTTCCTTGTGAGACTTCTGCATGTTCTTCTCCCCTGAGCACATTGCAAAAAATCCAACCATGTTGACGTTTCCTGAATATCCCCATTTTCTTCCCTTGAAAACACAGGGTGTAGGGGGATGAGGGCTTTCACTGCCCCATGGTATCTGACATGCAATGAGATGGGCATTAGCACAGCTCGGTGATGTGGAGGGGTCAGTGTTCAGCCAGCAAAGGCAGAGAAAGACCCTCAGATTCACATCGATGCTGTGTTGTCACGCAAAATGGATGAAGCCTCTTCTGTAATGTGCGAATTGAGCTGCCTTAAAAGTAGAGAAAACAACATTCTTCCTATCAGTTCACCAAAATGCCCTTGAATGCCCCACAGCTGGGCTGAGATGCACTTTAATTTGAGATGCACATTAATTATGCCATTAATCTGCAGCAGTTCACTTACCTGGTGTCCTGCAATCCGTGGGTGTTGCAGGGCAGAGAATTTCTGTAAGGGACAGACCACAGGGTCACTGGCTTTTCTCTCTCTTTCATCCTCTTTTTTCAGTGGTCTAATCTGTATGTTTTGTCTTATTAATTTTAATTTTTCTCACTTCTGCCTCTCAAACCTTGACCCTGATCCTGGCGAGTTAACTGTAATTTTTAAAACTTTTCTAAGCTTCTACTGTGATATTTCAACTTCTCTACTACACAGGGAAAAAATAATGAGAAAATGAGTTACTGGTCATGGCCCTTTTAACAGCTTTGACATGAAAATCAAAGCCTCTGTTTACTGTGCTTGTTGACAGAGGAAAAGCAGATTATTTCTCTTCCCCATCCTATTTGGCCTCTTAAAGCATTTCGAGATGTGAAATTCAAGCCTCGTTTAAGGTGTCATTCCTACATTTATGGAGGAATATGGACCTACATAGATGGAGGACACTGATTGTTCGCACAGAGCCATGCACAGCGATGCTGAGTGGCCAAA